ACCGACGCGCCAAACCATCCCACCCGCACGTTCACAGTGCCACGCCGGCCAAGGGAGTCGAACCCTTCCCGCAAGCCTCAAGTCCCACCCACCTGACCAGTCCAGCTACGAATCGTTCTCGTCTAGGAGTCATCCACAGACGTATTTAGTAAGGGTAAACATGGAAAAATACCACTTAATTAATGACATCTTGGTAAGCACAATCATGTCCTAAACGACTTTTATTTCCTATATGGAGGGAGTATGTGACTATGAGACGACTGGTTGCATGCTGCAGGGTTCTATGGTGACGGGAGCATCCTACTTCCTGCAAACTTGGTGCCTACAGATGAGGGGGCCCATGTTTTTTGCTGCCTGGACCCCACTCTGCTTCGTGTTCACAGTATTTTGCTCCTCATTCTTTCTCGGAGAGATTGTTCACCTCGGCAGGTAAATCATATATCACTGTCAGCTGATCAAAGTTGCAATATTCTAAAAACGCGCTGAAATAAGCTTTTCTTTTCCACTCTTCCTTTCTTGGCAGCATCTTGGGTGGAATTTTGCTGGTCGGAAGTCTTTACACCATCCTGTGGGGTAAAAGCAAAGAGAGTAAGGCTGAGGATGTCGCCGATGACACTGAGAAAGATGAGCATAATAAGAAATCTTCACAGGGTTACCTGGAGGAGCTACAGCATACTACGGCAGAGGTCAAGGAATCAACGTTGACAGGCTCGTCCACTTTGCATGTCCAAGAACCATGAATCTAAGATCGATGGATTCGACTAATGTACTTAACCCCGTTACATGTCCAAGGTAAAAAAAGAGAGGATATTTTCCTTGGTAGATAGTAGATCAAGTTTACTAAATCCTTAATCTCCATGTAGTCGTAATTGTAATCCTCCTCAAGCAAAACAACATCCCTAATGCCTCTACCGAGTAAGTGTTTAGTTGGTCCTACGTGTGGCTAAGAATGCCAAGTTACTTTTGGCTAAAATTAGCCTTTATCTTACTTTGATGCAAATTTTGCCTTGGTAGCCCTTTCATTTGGTCACCTTACTGTTAGAACTTATATTTATCAGAATTTTATTTAGCCTGGAACACCTAATCCACTCTTTATGCTAAACAAGCCCAATATCGGCAATATCAAATTAGTTTAACTAAATCCACCATAAAATGTATGTTAATAGTGGATTTATTGGGTGCTCCGCTCCCTCCTCTATTCTGATAAGTAGGCTGGGCCTAGGCAACGGTCCGTTGTGACATGAACCTTCTTCCGACCCAACAAATGCAGAAAAGCCTGAACAACACCGTCCAATGGCCTTATTAGAATAGATTGAAAAGAAGACTATGGGCCGATATAGGAGGTCGGCAACAATTGTTGGTGCTCGTTGGCTTTCCCTTCTTAAATATGTTGTCCTAAAAAAAAAGAGGTTGTCCTCCAAACCCTGTGTAGAAGTTTAGCATTAGATCGTACTATACTTGTTAGAGATGAGCATTTTCTCTATTTGTTCAGCCTATATTTGGCGGACGACGATGTGTGGCAGCTATGTGCATCATAGTATCAAACCTATATTACCATCAAGCCAACAACTTTATGCACTTTCGGATGTATGATATTTTACTGTTCTATTATGTTTTTCTTACAAAATATTCGATCTTGCCAATGCTGTGCTTTGGTTCGTTGGGATTTGGGAATGATCCGGTGGGCAGCTTGGCGACTCAGCCCCAATGTTGTCTTGGGACTTCCTTCATTCTAATAAAATATAAAATATTTTACTTTTGTCCTAAATCAAACTTCTACAGCACTGACTAAGTTTGTTTTTTTTTTTGCAAGGAAAAGGGAGCTCTAATCAAGTTGCATTCGTGAGCAACAATTTGCTCGATGCATACTGGCACGTTCAGCCTCCAGACAACGGAGTGGTGTGGACTATCTTCCACTCTCAACACACCATCCCCAGCTTCCTCGGTCTCCTAGGCCCGTTTACGTGCCCTTAAATCTGGCTTAATCCGCTTCTTTTTTTATCCGGAACAGTGTTTTTCTCTCACAAATTCCTTCAGCATTCCTCCAAATCATCCAAATTCCTCCAAACGAACAGGCCCTGCTGAGAAAAAAATTGACTGCCTATATATTCGGAAGCAAAAATGTTGGGTGACCTTAAAAGAAGGCCTGTTTTGGTCAAAGGAAGCAACGCAACAGAACGTGCTTGTCAGCCGCTACTTTCCGCCGATAATAATGCTTAACGAAAGCAATGCGTGCGCACACGTACTACTTGTTTGTTGGGTCCAGCTCCGGGCGTCCATGTTCCGAAGCTCTTATTTATGCCTTTCAAAAAAAAAGAATCAAGCTAGCTAGGAGTAAGTGCTAATTATCCGGAAGCAAAAACTTGCGGTGACATTAAAGAAAAGGCCTGTTTGGGTCAAGGAGGCGACGCGAAAACTCGTCGCGTTCCAAAATGGGTCGGCCGCTACTTTACTTTCGGGCAACAAAGATGCACGCACACGCAGGACAGCAATGGGAGCGTGCACTCGTGTTGGTTGGGTCCGGGCGTCCGGCTTCGGATCCACCATGTTTTGTTGCAAGGACGACCTGGACAGGCGAACGGCGGCGACGACGACTGCAATTCCCCGGCCTGTGCCATACGGGAAAAGGTCGCCGGCCATCGCACGGCTCCCCGGCATGCATGAGCATGACCAAGTACCGAGCCCGTTCCGTGCGCCGCGCGCGCAGGAAACATGGGTACGTGACTGCTTGGCCAAGTGACACTTTGTACCCTCACGCCACATTCTACGGTGCTAGTAGTACCAGGCACACCAATTTGGTCCGTGAGACAGCAACCAATGAAGTAATCGAGGAGTATTTGCTGCTGACGACGGAGCTGATCGGATTCCAAAGGGCAGCAGCGAGAAGAGAACATGCTAGCAATGAGTGACATTGGCACAGTGGCACATGGGTCACTGCAGCTGCATGCATGCGACTGTTGTTGGATGCAACGCAACACAAAACGTCACAAAAAGGTGGCTCGGCCTCGGCCTCGGCGTGCAGTCCTTGTTGCCACGGCCTGAAACATCCATCCAATCGGATTTGATTTGCCAAAAGAGCCTCCCTCCCTCAGGCCTCCGGCACGCAGCATCTGGCGAATGACCGCCTGAGCTGACCTCGTCGGTGTCGGTCTGGACCGCCGGTCTCGTCCCAGCTGGCTCCCTGCAACAAGACCCATAGTCACCAGTCTGATCTGACGGCGCCGCTCCTTTTACCTCCCCCGATGTCAACAGCGCCCCGTCGTCCCGGGCATGGGAAAAGCAGCAGGAGTAGATTCTCATCCCGTCTCGAGTGCTTGCTCCTGCTCGGGGGTGATCATTGCTTGTTGTTGCACAAAGCGAGCAGATCAATCAGATCTTGGCCTCCGATCGCCCTGCCTGCGTCTTCCTTTCTTGCTTCAGTAGTCGCCTGTTCGGTTGGCTGGTTCGTATCGTTGCTAGTTCGTTTACGTGAGAGAGAAGTATTTTGACTGGTTCGCGTGAACAGTGCACGGCCAGCCCAGCCAGCCCCAGCGATCAGGTCAAGTAGCATTTTGCATCGGATTCGTCAGTCGGTGCTGCTCGATCACTGCGTGCAGGAGGACGAGGAGTCCGCATGCGTTCCTCTTTGCAGCAAAAGCCGGGAAAGGGAAAGCGAGACGGATCCCGCCCGTCTTTGCGTCACCGATCTCGAGCACGGCAAAGAACCCCGCGCTCTCACACTCATGAGCTGCGGCCACCAGCTTTTGCAATTTCTACACACGCAGAGCTCAAGCTTTGATCTTTGGAGCAGAGACATACTCCTACCTCCCTTCTGTACACTACTACTAGTGTAGCTGATCGAGAAGATCTTGTATCACAGAATGTCCAGATCCTGCGACACACTTGCATTAAACGGTAGCCGCACGAGACAACAAACATCTCTGAATATCTCGCACCTGCTTCTGCATGCTGGCTGCGATGGTAATGGTGTTGTATATATGGTCCAAGCTGTCCAATTATGAGGCAAGTGGTCCTGATCTGGAACTGCAAGGTGTGTGATCCTGGCTCTAGAAGCAGACGATGATCAAAGACAGCGGAGGATGGAGTAGAGTACAATCTTCGCTCCGGCGGCACAAGAGAACAAGATCATCTGCTGCTCCACAGCGGCGACGGGGCCCCGGGGAATTCATTGACGCGACGGACAGCCTCGCTTTCGCTGTTGCTGTCGCCGGACCATGGCCGGATGGCTCTGCTCTCGCCTCTCGGCTGCTCGGCGCTCGGCAGGACGGCCCACGGGAACGAAACAGCTTTTGACTGTCCGGTCAAAGATTCATTCACAACTAGAGCTAATCACCATGTACTAACTTTGTAGCACCTAATGTATTGTGTGTAGGAGTACTCCGTACGTAACAGATGGATGGATGGATGGATGCAATGAACAGATGCTTATTTACTAGAGTAGGTACGTAATTACTACGGTAACTACAGAGTTACTGCTGCTGCTACCAGAACAAAACATTTATCTTTCACCAGCTACAGTTCCAGCATGGCCACACCCCAAACGAGAAAAAAGAAAGAAGAAAAAGAGTAGAAGCAAAACTTTTACAAGAAAGAGAGAGAGAGAGAGAACAAGAGGGCAGAGCTCAGCAAGCGCCTGCTGCCCTGCATCTTCTCTCTACCACAAGGCATGGCGCCCCATGCACCGGCGTCGCCTCCCGCACAAAAACCACACCACCACAGATTCAACCTCGTGCCCTAGCACTCTAGCAGCACCAGGATCCTCCCCCCACCCTACCTATAGCTAACATAATTCCTGTGGGGCACAGGGCTGCGCGCAGCCCATGCCGCTCTGTTGCCTTCAACCTCTCGCGTCTGCTCCAGCCTAGCAAGCAACGGACGGTGGATGGCACTGGCCCTGGCCCTGGCCCCCGCGCGCAGGGCAGCGTCGGCAAGTCGCCAGTGACGGTGACGGCACGCAGGTCAAGGTCCGGTCAGGGTCAGGGTCAGGGTCAGGGTCAGGGTCACGCCAGGCGCTTCCGCTCGGCGGCGATGCTCAGCAGCCGCGCCACGCCCTTGGTCCACATCTCGTACTCCCGCTGGCTGGTGCACTCGAACTCGATCACCCGGTGCTCGGCCGTCCGCAGGCCGAAGTACCGCCGGTGCTCGCCGTCCTCCAGCAGGTGCCGCCCGGGCCACGCCACCACGTCCCTGCACACGTCGATCACCACACCTGCACAGTGACAGCGACGGACATGCATGGGCGTCAGTCAGTGCACGGACAACAGTGCCTGCCCGTGGGCGACAGTGGCACGCTGTTCAAGCCATGCGTGGTTGGTTGTTTTGCTGCCGCTTGCTTACTTTTCTTCTTCTTCGTGATCGTCCCTGCCACATGCCGGCTCTTCATCTTCACCATCACCTGCAACGCAAGCCACATTCTTCCGTAAGCTAAACATCATTACAACTGTCTCACGAAAGTTGAACAGCAGGCAGAAGCGATTCATTTACCAGGCCCATCCGGTTGATGTAAACCGATACGACCTTCCAGTGCAGAGCGCCTGTAGAACCACACACACAGACCAAACATCAGTACAACATCCATTCTATGCTAACAGTACTTCATGATTCGGAATGATCGTACACCAGAACATCATGAACAGAATGACCACAGGAACGAAAAAGAGGGGTTCACCTTTCCGGGTGCGTTTGAGGAGCTCAGTGCCGCGAGCAAGCAGCTCCTGACTGCAGATGCCGAGGAAGTTGTTCTCCTCCTCCAGCGACACGTCGCTGATGCTGCTGCCGTTGCTCTCCAGCTTGCGGTGCTGCTGCTGCTGCTTGGGCACGCCGTGCTTCTGGTGGTGCCCTCCCCCAACCGCACCCTTCTCTACCGGGATCACTGCCGCGATGTTCCACACCTCCTTCAGAGCCCTCGCCTTCAACGTGGCCGCGCCTCTCAACGCTACAACCAGCAAAATTTGTTACTGAATGGGCAACTTCGGTTCTAGAGATATAGTCTCAACAGAAGAGGCGACGATGACACACCGGTAGCGGCAGCAGCCGTGACAGTGACGATATCACCGGGCGTCCTGACGTTCACGGCAGACCCAACAACGGCCTCCAGGTGCTCCCGCTCAGCGCCCATGGACTCCGCCGCCTCGACACACTGCGCGGCCACGAGCGTCGCGGCAGAGGCCACGGCCATGTCTGTGCGCGCCGCGCGGTCGTCTTTGCCGGACCCTGAGGCCGCAGCGGTCGCGGCGGCCACTGCAGCCACGGCAGCTGCCACAGCCGCTACGGACACTGCTGCGTGGACCTGTGCGTTGTGCGCCCGCGTCTCCTCTTTCTTCTTCTCCTTCCGGTCCTTGAGCCACCGGCCGACCGTCTTGTTGCCGGCCCGGAAAGCCTGCGGCTTCGGCGTGCTGACCGCCCTGCAGTACTGCATGATTTCGGGTGTAAAGTTCACTCAGTTTATCAAATGCTGAATTTCCAAAAATAAAAATTGGATCTAGTTATATTTAGGAGTTATTAGGACTGATTATATATTGTCAAAGGTACTAGACAAACAGTAACGCATTCAATGATAAGCCGGGCCTCGTTCACTTTGAAAAAAAAGTAAACCCGATGAATAGTACCATTTTCGTCTTATTTGACAAATATTGTCCAATCGTGAACCAACTAGGCTCAAAAGATTCATCTCATGATTTCCAACTAAACTATGTAATTAGTTTTTTTTTACCTACATTTAATACTCTATGCAAGCGGCTAAAAAATAATGTGATAGAGAGAGAGTGAAAAAACTTGGAATTTGGATGGCATCTAAACAAGGCGCAGTGAAGGTGTTGTTTCTACTGCAACAACAAATTGGGTACACCTTGAAGTGACAGAACGGTTCTAGTTTTCCAGAGATGGGTCCTTTACCAACAGTGGCGAACTGGAGGTGATAATTGAAGAAAGGTGCAGCTCATCCGCCAGTACCATAACACACTACTGTATACAAGCACAATGTTTAGTAGACGCGTAGCCTGGGACAAAACAAATCAATCCATGAAAGCTAAAGCCTGCCGATATTCCATTTCAGAAACCAGTAAACTATTGCATTATATTAGTACTAAGAATGAGCCACAGAAGAGAAGAAAATGGACACAATGATGAGGGAGCCGAGGATGGATAATGCTAGCCCCAGATCAGCTAAAGCGGGCATCATTACAGCGGATTAGAAAAGCTGGAGGGAATAACAATCGATTAGGGACCGAAAAGGCCCAGCCAGCCTCATGATGCGGCAACGGCACGGACCGCGAGCATGCCTGCGACTGCGAGCCTGCCGCCGATGCCTTTCACCCAGAGAGAGTGATGGGCAGAGGGTGAGAGGGGTTGGGTGCGACATGGCCTGCTGGTGCTGGTGCTCTACCAGACTGGGCATTGCTGCAGTGTTTGCTTGTGCAGGCAGGAGACCAGGGACAGGCGCTCGCTGAGACGAGGGACGACGATAGCAGCAGGAATCAAAGCTTCTTTACGAATACTGTATACGCCCAGCAAACAACAAAATCCATGGTATCATACAGTAGATAGCTGAGCTGCTCTCTGCTGACTGCTCGGGGAGACTGGGATAGAGTAGAATGTGATTAGATCAGGTGGAATGACCGGAGTGCCGCTTTGCGTATCCAAATCACTAATCAGATCTTTGACCATGACCTCTCATGAGGCGTTGTCTTTTCTCGGGGCATGTGGAACGGCGCAGATGTGGGGGCATTCTTGGGCCAATTTGTCCCTAAATCAGGGTGGACGAGCATGAACCAGGGTGGGGGGAAAACAGTTGAATCTGTGGAGGCATTTCACACTGATTTAATTACAGTATGAGTAGGTACTTGGTAGAATTTCTTGTTTTCAGGCTTCAGGTGTACTATGTATCTGATGAATGACTGAAATGGAGAGATCTCTTCTTGCAGCTACGCGTCCAAACAACAAACTGCTCTTGCATTCCAGCACAATCCTGTGATTGTTTGCGAGAATCATCGAGCCACCACGCTGCTATCATTCCGAAGGAAACATGCTGGAAGAAGGGCTGATGGTTTCTGCGGCTGCTACTTATACTGATTCGTTAGAAGAGAGAAACACTGTTTTATGGCTTAAAAAAAATAGGAATTCCGGCCGAAATTGGAACATGCAATTAATGTCGAAAGAACTGACGGCCAACCACTTCTACAGTGCTGGAGGACTCGAGGTACAGCCAGGAATGATTGAAACACAGCATGAAGCACAAACAAGAGCAGCATAGAAGAGAGGAAAAGGAGACCCTTTTCTTGACTACCGGTTGCCACAGTCGGCGCGTGTTTAGTCGGGTGAATTTGGAAATTTTAGCTACCGTAGCACTTTTGTTTTTATTTGATAATTAATATTCAATCATAGGCTAATTAGGCTTAAAACGTTCGTCTCGTAATTTTCAACAAAACTGTGCAATTAGTTTTTTTTCGTCTACATTTAATGCTCCATGCACGTATCGCAAGATTCGATGTAATAGGTACTATAACACTTTTTGAGAATTTGGGGTTGGAACTAAACACGCGCTCAGATATTTAGGACAAAGGAGGATTCTTTCCTCAAACCAACAAGGCCAGGCTGGATTAGTACAAACCTTCAAGTTTCAGCGAATGAGGGTACAAATTTGTATAAATAAATGGGGGTTTCGAGGATTAGTAGTACGCGCTACAGTTTCATTGAAGACGAAGGTCTCCATCTTGTTCATGTGGCTGGATAGAGACCTGAAGCTGCAATGTTTATGCAGGGGTTGCCGGTGGGGTGATGGAAAGAGACGCGTCCATGACAAAAGATTACTACTCCTACAGTAGTGCCACGCTGCTACGCTACACTGAAGACTGCAGCAGTGTGGTGGGCACGGCCGCGACCCGCGACGGCGAGAGTTCACAACGAAACGAACACGAACTCTCGGACAGGCGAGGAGGGCGCGACGGATTGAGCGAAACAAAAGCTGTGGGGAAAAAGCGAAGGGCGACGGGCTTGCAAGTCAGGGGTTTTATTGGAAGCCGCGAAAGGCAGGCCTACGAGCTCTTTGTGTAGCTTTGGTTTTTCTTGTACTCTCGCTCTAGAAAAAATTGGTGCCCGGCACAGGGAAGGCTGCAAGGCTGGTCGCTTTGTCCCAGGCAGACCCACAGCTTCCAATGCCTACTATGGCTGTGCCTGTGGGTGGTCTGCTCTCTCTCTTGGACGAATCACGCTTGTGACCCTCGCCAGCCTGCTCTTTTCTACCACTGCCAAGTGAAGTGAATCACTCTGCCACTCCCCTACGGAAATGCAGGCAAAACTAACCGAAGCTGCGGTGCTCGTTATTACTATTATAAAATTCTGTATTTACTAGTACGACAAAACAAAACAACTTAATACTACCGGTACAAACAAACAAAAGGTACGTAAACAGAAACTGTTTTCTTTAAAAAACACTACCTGACCAAAAGACTAGGTAACCTGATGCTGTTATCCAACAAAAAATAACACTACTACAGAATACCAAATGATTAAATAAAAGCTTCGCTCGGAATCTTCATTCTTTTTTTTTCTTATCCTTTTTGTCAAGGAAGGCGTGAACCATGGAGCACACAGAAATGATTTTCCCTCCCTTCCCTTAGAAACAAAGCACACAACATGACCGTACCGCATGTAGTGGTAATAAAGATGCAGAGAATCCGACACATGAACACACAGCAAACAGTGTGTCCACAAGGCCGGCAGTAAAAGCAGGAATTGCTTGGATTATTCTACAAACGCAGTTAAACCAGCTAATCTAATGGCCTCTAGTACGGCTCAACGTTCAGCAACGGCAAGTGAGCCAAATAATTACTAGTGCTGTAAGAAACTGCAGGTTAGTGGCAGAGACCAGCACAGTTCTAGCGCTTAAAAATTGCAGGGAAGCCTGTAGTACGTACGACTAGTAGCAACTCATTCTCCGATGCACCAGAAGGTGACAAGGCAGGAACTGACCTTTGCGTCATCGATCTCCGGCGAGACCGGCGGGCTGTCGGAGAGGGAGCCGCCGCCGTTGAGGGGGCCGCTGCTGTGCGAGAGCCGGCCGGAGGTGAGCGGCGCCACTTCCTGCTGCAGGGTTGCAACACACAGCCAACAAAGCGTGTTTCAGACATCAGGAATCAGGATTCAGAAAAGGTGATAGCAGGAACAAAAAAAAACGACTGAAATCGTGTTTCTCACGGGGGAAAAGGCATGTTTGTTGCATGGGGAAATTGATGGTGCTTAATGGAAGAGGCCTGATCATTCATGGCGACTAAGCTGCGTACTCCTACTTAACTAGAAAGAATGGTGGGTATTACACTTGTTTTTCCGGACCTGGCAGGAAAACAAATCTCTCCTTTGGCAGTTTCTCCTTGTCCCAACACGGGGTCAAAGTGAAACCAGGAGGAGAGCTGGCCGATGTGGGAAAGAGTTGAATTGACTGGGAAAAAAATGCTAACTAATCGGATGTCCAGAAAAGAAAAAAGATCCACCAGTTCCCGCGAAACTTTGCAGGCAGAGGAAGAAATCGGGACGTTTGTACAGAACAGATGGAGCCAACCAATCTGCAGTAAAATGCTGCCAGGAAAAAAGAAGCCCGAATCGGCAAATAAAAAACGACCAAAGCACACATCTTTTTTGTTTTATTTATTTAATGGCGCCCAGGTGTTACCAAGAACCCAAGAGGCAAATCTCCTGTAATAACGATTGAAAAGATTCGATTTTTTTTCCTTGAAAAAACGGAGAGCGATTTTGAGGAGGAAGAACAAACAAGACGGATCGGAGTAGAGGAAGGAGAGGAACGAGTCAGGGCAAGGAGGCTCTCACGGATTGCGCGAGGATCCGTTCCATGATGAGCTGCGACGTGGCGGCGGACGCGAAGGAGAAGGAGCTCCCGGACGCGGCGGCGGAGACCCCGCAGACGACGGCCCTGTCGTCGAGCTCGCACGCGGCGTCCTCCGCGATGGGGCTGGCCGCGAGGAGCGCGGCGCCGCCGGCGGCGTCGGCGGCGGGTGGGGCGCGAACGCGCGCCCGGCGGAGGCGCTCCAGGAGCGGGAGAGGAACTCGAGCGGGTCCAGAGGCAGCTCCGGCGGCCGCAGCTCGCCGGCGGCCACGGCGGACGTGCGGACCCGGGGATCGCCCATGCGCGCGCGGGGGCCGGGGAGTTATGGAGAGGGGCGGAGTGTGGTGCGAGTGAGTGAGCGGGCGCGTTCCCAGTGATGAGTCTGATGACCCCAAATGCCAATTCTGAACGAGAGAGAGACAGACAGTGAGGCGGGTGGTTAGGCCCTCCCTGGTTTTATAGCCTCGCCACTCGCCAGCGTTGGTTCCTCTCGTCGTCCAGGCCTTGCTTGCTCTTCGGGGCCTTTTTTTTCGTTTCTTTTGTAGTAACTTTTCTACAAGTCGTGCAACTGTGCAAGGAAGCATGCATTACGGTCATTCTCAGTTAGCAATGGGGAAAAGGTTGTGTACTACTCCTATGTCATCCATGATACTGGTCAACACTGTAGTAGTAGTACTCCGGGAAAACTTTGTTGGGTTTATTTTTATTTTATTTTTCTCGTGGCATGTTCCACTGTTATGAAGAAATGTTACATAACCGTAAAGTAAGTTTTCCAATTCAGTTATTATACAATTTCTAAAACTCTATATAAATTACCATGGTGATCTTACAAGGATATACTTATCATTGACGCTACTTGAGATAGTAATGTCACATTTCCAAAACGAATCGTGACAGCGAGAAAAATCACGCCTTTTTTTTTTTTCCTTTTTTTGTCTCCATCTAAGCTTGGATTATCCGAACTCCATTTTAGTCGGAGCCTAAGGTGAATTGAGCTCCTTACATTTGCACGGTGGTTAACTAAGTCAAATATAAGAAACGAGATTGGTATAAAGCTTGAGGGTTCAGATTTGTTGATGCTCGGATCATTGCTCACCATGCGTCCACAACTCCACATTCGTTGGTTAAGGTATACATCTAGATCGAGCCGATAGTTTTCTCACGGTTATTGCTATATATGTTATCTACATCGAAGCTTCAGTTATCTAGATGCATTTGGCTCCGAGCTCCGGGTAAGTTGACTACACTATGTTTGTGACAATTGTCTTTTTTCTTCTAGATTTTCACATAAAAATAGACAAGATCAATAGATTTGTCATTTTGTTGGTCAACCTGAAGGATCATTTTGTTGTTACACAGTTATAGATTGATAGTACACCTTCCTATTTATGGGAATCGTAATTTTACAGCTACCTTTTTTTTGTCTTCACAGATTGGCTTGTGAGGTGATAATTTTGTTGTTGTCGTCAAGTTTCCTAAATTCTTACCGCAAATGTCTTTTTTCTCTCAAAATGTCATATATCAGAATTACATAGAAGATGCAAGTCATATTTTTGTAGCTTTGTGCAACAAAAGAAGTTGTTGCAGTGTACAAAGATATAGACAACGATTTTACTCAATAAATCTCCAAGTGATGATTTGGAAAGTAAATTTTAGAAAGACTTAAGATATGTTAGCATCAAAAGCTACTGGAAGAATTCAGCACATGAAACTATATCGGAAGCCACCAGATGACAGGTCGAATAAATTTACTCATGTGTACCAAGCCAGTTGGGTGAAGGGGAAAAAAGTATCAATGTGTTGTTGGCCATGGTCGAAATTCCTTTTTCGTGTAGAGTGTTTTGGCATGCTATATATTCTTCAGTTGAGTTGGCATTGTTGTTAGGCCAAGTTCAAATGACTTGGGCTATGTTTGGTATAGTGTGCAGAGGAGTCATCAAACTGAAAATAATAATAGTTTTATCGGCTTCTAATTCACTCTAATAGAATTGACAAAAAAACATTTTCTTGTACACAGAGGATTTGAAGGCCGAGCTCTAGCAAACGGACCTTGCATAGAGTCTTCTTTTAATTGAAAAAAAGAATAAATGGAAAGGAGCAGAGACATTGAAAATGGATAACAAAGGAGTGTCCCAGTCCCTGACATGCGGGCCAGACGGGAGGGAGTGGCTGCATACGTCAGCAAAGGATATGTGTCCGTTGCAGCCTTGCAGGCAATAAACAGCGTGATGCCGAGATGCTTTTTTGACCTGTTCGGACGGTGAGTTTTTGATGGTTGAATAGTATTCTGTGAGAGAGAATAAGCTCAAATAAGTTTTTTTTTTCTTGAAAACTGAAAACGCGCTGTAAAGCTCTCAGCGGCAATCGGTTTGTGACGTGGAACTGTTTCCCGTCTTTCACAACAGATAGTAAACGATCGTAAATTTCCAGTCGAAAATAATGTTTTTCTCTCATATTAAACCAGTTAGCAGTAAATAATACATTATACAATAAATAATCCATCGTACGATACGCCCTGGGCCGTTTGGTCCTCAGGTCTCATGTGCTGCGTCTGTCTGCGTGATCAGACCCGACGGCCTCAGCCATCAGATGAGACGGTGCCTTGACCGCACAGCTCTGCGCTGCATTGCTTCGCTCTGGTCGACTGTGCGCTTCGACTTTGTCAGCGGTAAAAGTAATTTGCGTAGGACAAAAACTCGTTGCTGATTCTCACGTGCTCAGTGATGCAGCAATGACGATATGACGGTGGAGTGTGGATTGTGGACTGGTATCGGCTCGATCGTTTTAGTGGCATATAAGCCAATGGTGCTTTATTTGTAGAGAAAAACACGGTATCATAACTAGTAAATATAGCTGATACGATGAAACAGACTTGGTGATTTGTGTCTGCGTCACTGCAAGGTACAAGCCTCTCTTCAAAGTATCCATTTGTTTTCAGCTTTGGTATTTTCGGACGTTACATACGTATATAGAACAAAGTTTTAGGGTGAAAGACATCTCTCAAATAATTTTAACTACCAAAATACTTCTAATCCGGAGCATTTGGGAGGCAGGAGAAAGCGCTTCTAACAGTGAAGGCGAACCAGCTGCGGCTCCTGTTGAGGAAGGTATGAGAAGATTGTTGGGCCGTCATTGTTCCATTTGTCTTTACTCAATTTTTCTACTCAAAATCTATGCCCGTGTTTAGTTGGGGGAAAGTTAGAATTTGGTTAATGTAGCATCTTCGTTTTTATTTGACAATTACTGTTCAATCATGGACTAATTAGGCTCAAAACGTTCGTCTCGCGATTTCCAACCAAACTGTGCAATTAGTTTTTTTTCGTCTACATTTAATGCTCCATGCACGTATCATAAAATTCGATAAGATGGCTACTGTAACACTTTTTTGAAACTTTTTTTTAACTAAACACGCGCTATTTTCAACTGAGAACGGAACGGGTAACTAGGAACTCGGTCAAAATTATTTGACGTGCTCTGTTTTTTTTTTTTTTTTGCGAGCATTGACGTGCTCTGTTAAGAGGCAAGAAGCCATCTATTACTGTATCTTTTTTTTATAAGGCTACTGTGGAGTTCGGCATGGCGTTTTTTTTTTTTGACAAATTATGGCGTTCTGTTAAATGCTTGTCGCGCACGGTCACGGCGTGACAGCTGACAGAGCGTCCGGGCCCACGCCCAACCACAGTAAATGCTGACGCTCAACACGACAAAACACAGGGTACTGCTACCTCAGTTTGGAAAATATTTGTGCGGTTTGTATACCTAGAATCCATAAAAGGTATACTTATAAATTCTTGCACAATTTAGTGATTTTTGTTCTATTGGATAGAGTAGCAAATACTACGGGCCTGTTTGGAACGCAGGAATTGCGCAGAATTTCGCAGGAATCAACATGAAATACGCAGGAACAGAGAAACATTCTCGTGTTCCAAACAGGGCCTACATATTCTATTCAAAGCGCACAAATTTGAGCGGATCTCATTAACGGTTCTTCAAATAATACTAGAACCATTCCAAAAAAAAAAGAGTGCAGTTCTAGATGCATTCTCAGCTAAAGTGCTTAATTGAAGTTAGATAAATATATAGATAAAAATATTAATGTTTATGACACCAAATGAATATATTATAAAAATATGTTTCATGCAAAATATAATGATACTTATTCAATACGATAAAAATTACTATTTTTTAATTAAAATCTTATCAAAAGTAGACATACTTTGACATAACACTATTCTAAAATTGTAATCTTTTGGGGCCAGAGGAGAACTTTGTTGTTCGTCATTTAGGCCCTGTTCATTCATTTGAAAAAACAAAGTTCAAAACACCTGTTCTCGCTGATTTATTGGGAGAAAAAAATATTGTTCTGGCTGAAAAAAAAAAACAAGCTGAAAAGTACGGATTAAAGAAAATGCCCCACCTCTGTGGTGACATGGATGTAGGTGGCGTTCCGAGATCAAGCTCAAGAACACCGGCATGATGGAGGGAGGCAGCGGGTGGCAGAAGGAGGGACACGAGCAGTGCTGGTGTGGTAGTGGTACGGCGCCACAGTTGAGGCGAATCAAGGAAGGCAACACGAGCGAATAAAGACCAAGCGGACAAGAAAGAGAGAAGAAATCGAAGAGAACAAAATATAAATAAGTTAAGAAATGATAAGGATATTATGACGTTTTGTTCTTTTTATCTACTACGAGAAATTGTTTTTAGTAAATCTTTTTCTAGACAAACTATTCAGAGCCAAAGAATGCTTTCACACACAGAAAGCTAAAGCTTGAGAGAGAGTAGTTTTAGCTGGTGCGCGAGAGCTCTACCAAATACTCGCTTAGGGCCCTTTTTGGAATGTATTAGTTTTAGCCGGTGCGAGAGCTCTACCAAATACTCGCCTAGGGCTCTTTTTGGAATGTATGTTTTTTACTGGAATCATACATCGATTTTACATAAACCAGCTCAAACTTCTTCCGGGGAAAACACACACATGATTTAGGAAAAATCCCAGCATTCAAAGGCCCGTAATGTTTGGTCCCATTTCGTACGGACACACGCACCATGTTTTCGTCCTAGACAGCAACGTTTTCAGTGTGGCAACCTATTTCGTCCCGAAAGTGTTTCCGGTGCCGTGTCAGCTTTTTCTCGGCTACACAGGTACTGTAGGCCGGCTAGCACTAGCGGCATGGATCAATGGGTAGAGTACGTATACACCGTACAGCATCGTAGTAGGCGCGCGGTCCGTAGGCGACTAGACGTACGCGCGCGACCAGGCTATAGGGGCCCCTCCGGATGCCCAGGCGACGGCATGGCCACAGA